TTCGCCACATTTTGACTTTGTTCTGGAGAGCTTGGCCGACAATGACGGTGTCACCAAATTTGGCATTCACAATCTACACGGCGAATATCTGAACGAAGTGTTTGACGCGGCTTCGCGACTCGGCAATTTAAGGGAACTGTGTCTGGTGGATACCGTACTACGTCGGGACGTTGCAAACACCTTCAAGAGAGCTCTAAGATACAATCCATGGATCGAATGCGTGGAGCTCATCCGAAATTCTGTCGAGGGTAACGACGAACTTTTCCTAACCACGTTAACGATGCTACCCAAACTACGCAAATTTGTCTACGACAATAACAGTGTGCACGAAGATGCCATCTACCACCTTGCCACGTTGATGGAGCGAGACACCTGCCTCCTCGAAGAACTCAGACTATCTAGGTGCTTGCAAGAGGAGAGTACCGGCGTGCGATTTTTTGAGGCACTGGGCGAAAATTCGACTTTAAAGGTTCTCCAACTAAAGGCCTGCCTACTATCCAACGAAGCGATCGACAACCTGACGGTCGCGCTAAAGAAGAATCGGCGACTCGAGAGACTGGAAGTGATCTACTCTCGAATGGAAGGGGATTGGATCGCACCGATAGCCGAGGCGCTACGCGTGCATAATCGGACGCTCAAGAGACTCGACCTCGAGGCGACGAACGTGTGGCCGGAGCGATGCGTTCTCCTACTCGAAGCCATGAGCAAAAACTCGTCTCTAGTCGAAGTGAATCTCGGCTATCTCTGCGGCATAGCCGAGGTCTTGGAAACGATCGTGGAGCGAGGTTTACAAGATCGAATTCGTATTGGAGTCGTCGGCACAGTGATGGGTCATGCTCTGTGTGATCTGCGGGCCGTGAATCTTCTCTCGACCATTACGAACCTGACCGTAAACTATAGCGGCATCGGTGCGGTGAGTGCCTATTCGAAGCTACTGTTTCATTTTGCGGCACAGTCGACTGCCTTGAAGGTCTTTAAGGTCAACCTGCTGCCACTCATCTACAAAGAGACCTGCGACAGTATAACCGAATTTTTACGATCCACGACGACGGTCGAAACCTTTCATTTCAAGTCTCTCATGAGCAACCTCACCATGGTGGACAGCGTCATGATGGCGATGGCAGAGAACCGAAGCGTGGTCGAGTGGTCTTGTGCAGACTGCGTGATTTACCCGCAAAGTCTACCGGTTCTGCTCCATATGCTGCGCACCAACAAGACGCTCGCGTACTTGGAGATGTCGGCATATTTAACTGCGGAAGACTACGGGCAAATTGCGTCCGCCATGTTTAAGAGTATTCTCAGACTCGATATGCAAAACGCATACGAGGACTTTGGAGTTGGCGAGGTGCTTCGCCAAAACCTTCTGAGAATGAACAGGGCCGTCGAGTTTGTAACCGACCCGGAGGACTTTGTCGAGTGCGAGTGTGTACGTGACTTTGAAGACGTGCTGGACACCGCCTCGTTTGCAAGGCACTTCGCTCAGGCTCACCCCCAAGACAATAGCCGCTTGCCATCGATGTTGGCGCGCGCCAAGCGGTCTATCAAAGAACGTTTTTTCGAATTTAGCGGAATTTGCAGAGACAAAGTCCCGCTGTGCGAGTCGAGTGGCAAGCCTATTCTAAACTACGAGTGTTGGCAGCACGTCTTTTCTTTTCTCGCTCTCAACAACGTGGTGTGGTGAATAAAAATGTACAATTCGTACTCTACTTGGTGGTGTATTTATCGACCTAGCTAGAGCAACAAGTCTGCTCTAGAGTAGCATTTATTAGGCCCTCTTCTCATTAATGGCATTGGTAAAAATATTAACCCGTACCGATGAGTTGACCTTTCTAATTACTGATACCGACACGATCGATCTGATATCAGAATCAAATAGTTCTTGCATAGATATATAAAGATGCATGCACGCACAATGTCTACTGGCGCATGCATCTCTTTTCATCTATGCTTTCTTTTACCCGAGAAGGTGTGCAAGCATGCTTTTAAAGCGTTGCCTCGAGCCCAGCTTTTTTTTTTCTGGGCGACGGCCAGAGTTTCTAGAGCGCACAATCGTCTGCCTCGATACAGGCCGACAAGTGTTCCAGACCACTCGGGCCGTCGTCTTACGTAACTATTAACATTTAATCAAACTAAAGGAGAGAGCATAAAGATCTTTATTTGATGTCCTTTAGCTTCAAATACGAGGCGACCGCCTCCCAACATTCTCTGTTTAAAAATGGAAAGGCACACACAGACATTTCACTGTCACATATTCTTGCCAGTTGAAAAAAGTTTTCACGAATTTAGCGGCGAGCCCGCGCCAAGACGTCCACTTCACTCGAGTTGACATTCACACAACAGCCGTCCTTGGGCGTAGAAGGTGATGGGGCGCTTACATCGCAGAGCAGAGCGCACGTCGTACATGTCCGGAGCAGCATCCGCGACGCTTGGATCGGCCACAAACTCTGCGGCCCTGTTCAAGAGCCACCTGTTGTGTCGCACTGCCTCTTGTATGACAAACACTCCCGATCCTCCGGGGCGACGGTTGTAATCATCTTTTCGCAGCTCGACACATCGGAGCCGAGGGTTCAGTCCGTCGAAGCCAGCGTAATAATCGATGCCGCGTGGCGTCATCGACATGCACAGTTTAATAAACGTCTCGTTGTTTTTGAAAACTTTGTAGAGACTTCGCAGGGCTCCCGAGCTCGCGACGACACACTTCAACCATTCGAACGATTCTAGTCCGTGGTTTTCCGATAAGCCTTCCAAAACCGTCTTTACGACCGACTGGCGTTCTTGTCCACACGTGACTAGAGTGAGCGTCTTCAGAGTCTTAGAGTCTCCTATGAAAGCGGCCACCTTTTCAGCCACACTGTTCAAAAAGTTGGAAAAGATATATACGTGTTGCACGTGCGGGGAGGCGCGGAGGGCGTCAAACGTCTCACCGAGGTATTGGTGAACCTCGCGTGACATTCCATGTTCGATGGTTACGTATTTAAATTGTGCCAATAATTCTACATTTATGCGGCTATTACACAAAACGGCCAAATGTAAGCGCTGGCACTGACCTCGGTCGATGGCCAGCTGCGCCAATTCGCCGAAATCTGTCACGTAACCAAGCCTCATGACTTGTAGGCTCTTGTTGATGGATAAACCTCTATCAAAACCCGTAGGCTGCGCGTAGACAAGGCTATGTTATCTCTTAGATTAATTTCGATTAAAGACCGATTATGCGCAACGGCCTCAGCCAGATAGGATGCCGTATCGTCGGAGAAAGTTGAAAAGTTGACAAGACAATGGATATGAAGTAGTTTCAATTTAAGCTTAAACAAAGTGACTCATAGAAGGGATTATATAAATGAACATTTTCGTGGTAGTCGTATCAGCAAGCCAGCACAGGACAAAGACTGTAAGTTTCGTCTCAAAATGTTTTCTAGAAATTAATTTATCTTCAAAGTCTGGTCACTGATAACTGTCGAGTGTTCGTGGAACTGATCTTACATTCACGCGAGTCTCATCGGCAAGGTCAGATGTCGAGCGGTAACGCGAGATAGAAATATGCAAGGTTGGTTGTTATTCGAGTGGTTTTTGACGTCAATGCTACTAATAGCTCGCCGCCAGAGAGTCACATGGGCTGTGAGAGCGGGGGTCTTAGTGAGGTATAAAACGGGCGACACGACACGCCCGACACGACACCGACTACAAGCCTACCCTCTCCCTCGCAGCAACGACAGGACTACTACTACTGGCAGACATGGAGTCCAGGCGATTTCCAATGCCGACGGCACGCCTAGAAGCTCCGGGCCATCATCTGAAGACGCTGGTGAAAGCAACCTTCAATCATTCGACCATACCAGCCTCGACCAGTATGAAAGTATTTGAAAGTTTGAAGCGAAAGAAAATGACCAAGGACAAAGTGAAATTCATTCCCGGCGTCGTTCCGAGGACGTGGAAGGAGATGCCGCAAAACTACGACCTCCTAACGGTACCGGTGAAACCATCTCCTTCTCTTATCATTTTATTAATTCATTTCGCCATGTGGTCCATAGCTAATCTGGACAATTCTCCCGTTGATTCTTTAAGGCATTTATTCATCGATTACCTTAACGAAGAGGTGGCCCGCATGATGAGCGAGAGACATGTAACGAAGGAATTGTTAAAGTTTCTCGAGGATTCTGTAGCGTCGGCCCCCTATTCCGTTTGGCTGCCGGTGGACGGAGACTCCAGCGAAAATTGGGTATTTTATCGTGGCGCACGTGAAAAACCTAAACACGTCGTGCAACCTCTTTTGCTCACTCACTATCAAGGGTATGAATGCAATCGCGCCCACGCTGTTTTAAATATGTTTAACGGCTACAAGGGTAAAGTATTTTATCCTTATAGCTACACGTTCAGTCACGATAGCAGAGATAAAACTAATAAGGTAATTCTCCTGCAATATTTCATCTTACCAGCGCTAACGTCGTTGACGATGCGCCGAGAACTCGCCGAGTTTATTGGCTTAAGTATTAATATTGAAAAGGATAGGGCCCTCATGGTAAATTACATTTGCGAATCCATTAAAACATTGGTGTATAAATCTGTGTTTTTTTATTCGTCGGAATTTAGTCAATGCGTGAATGTAATTGCAAATATTGAAAGTCGGAAAATGACGGATAGAAAAAAATCTAAATTGGCGCAACTCATAGAGTATCCGAACATTTTGACCGATCCATGGGTTTACATCTCCGGGGTCGGCCTATCAATTGGGGACTTTGATGTTGCAGAATTCTCTAGAGGACTTTTTTATTCCACGGAGTACGAGTCTGTCGCTCGGGAGACATCGGAATTGATGACATCTTTATTTTTTTATGTATTGTATGTTATTATTGAAAAACGGCGGGTGTGGGATTGTCGCCTCGTTGTCGAGTCTAAAAACGAATCTATCCTGGCGGCCTTTTATAATTTAATATCGGACCTCCTGCGACCATTCAATTGTAACGCTGCCGCCACATGTTCATCCGTACTAATAAGGCCATAACATGGCGTCGCAGGAGGACCTGAATTACGGCCGCCTGGATAATTATGATACTCTTAAAACTCCGAAAAACATTAAGGCTTTGAAAACCTTTCTCGGTTTCTCCTGCGTGACCGAATATACCAAAGTAGTGACCAAAATTTCTCAAAAGTCTAGTCGCCGCGTCTTCGTTATGCACCTGTGCTATTTCGAAGACGAGGCGACCGTCGAAGCATTTGTGAAGAAATATTTCGATGCGACCACTCTGTGGCCATTCGTCCTCGGTCTCTTCATTTATTTCAGTACGAGGAAGGACGAGGTGCTGACCGAGGAATTGCTCGACCTATGGTCGAAGCAATGTCCGACCCTCCTGGCCACGTCGATGAACGTGGCCAATACCATGACGCCGAGCAGGTTTTTCAAAAACGCTTCTATCATGGACACGGTTCGGACAACGATTGGCTTCCAGCAACCTGTTGCTGAGTCGACGTCTACCGGCGACAAACAGCGATTGGTATTTGCCACGTTGTCTAGCCAGGAGGTGTTTGAAGGGATCGAGGACGACTCGATTAGTAGCCCGGGCTCCTCGAAAAAATCTGAAAGCGTCCAATCTGGCAACAAAGACTCTTATTCGGACGATGACGAATTGGATATTGCAACCAAGATGGTATTGAAGAACGCAGGAGTGCCAAAATCCAAAATTGATTCGTCGGACAGCGAGGAAGAAGAAATCGTGTGGTACACCTCTTCTTTCAGAAAACGGAAGAATTGTCTAGACTCCGATTCTGACAGCGGACCGATTCCAAAGAAACCTGTATACTATTCCGAAAACGAAATTATTGATATCGACTCGGATGACGACCAGAACGGATCTTCATCGACATCATCTCCGGATTCTCTAATTAGGCCCATTGTGAAACGTCGGAGACAAATTCTATCCGATTCAACGGATGACGAAATGGTCGAAGCCCAAAAAGTAAAAGTCCGTTCTGGTCGGACGAGCCGTCAACGCCACTACCAGAAAGTCCCTGGCTGTCAGAGTCGGAGTGCTCGTCTTTCACCAGACCGGTGGTATCTTCTTCCGCGGTTAACGCGGAATCATTAACTTCCTCACCCAAGTCTCCGATCCTGCCGCCGTTAACGCCACTACTAGAGAGTCCGCGGCTCTCGGAGTGTTCGTCCTTCACCGGACCAGCGGCATCTCCTTCCACGATCAACTCTGAAGTATTATCCTTTTCGCCCGAACTTCCGACCGTGCCGAAGGCATCGCCCAACGCCGAACCGCTCCTGCAAGAGCCCGAGTCCGAGCTGCCACATCCATCTTCATCCCCATCAAGTCTGCAGCTCGAGCTCTCATTTTCTCCATCACAGTTCAGGACGTCGCCGTCGCAGCTCATACTGCCGCCGTCGCCAGAGACTGTATCCAAGATCGCCGGCGCCGGTGCCAGAGACTCTACTTCCATCAGTGCCGGTACCACAGACTGTAGATACAACATTGCCGGTGCCGGTGCCACAGAGTGTAGATACAACATTGCCGGTGCCAGTTCCAGAGACTGTGCTTCCATCACTGCTGGTGCCACAGACTCTACACACAAGATTGCCGGTGCCAGTGCCAGAGACTGTGCTTCCATCACTGCTGATGCCACAGACTCTACATACAGGATCGCCGGTGCCGGTGCCAGAGACTGTGCTTTCATCACTGCTGATGCCACAGACTCTACATACAGGATCGCCGGTGCCGGTGCCAGAGACTGTGCTTTCATCAGTGCCGGTGCCAGAGACTGTGCTTTCATCAGTGCCGGTGTCAGAGACTGTGCTTCCATCAGTGCTGGTGCCAGAGACTGTGCTCCCATCACTGTCGGCGCCAGAGACTGTCTTCCCAAGAGTGCCAGTGTCGGCGCCAGAGGCTGTGCTCCCATCAGTGCCAATGTTGATGCCACACACTGTGCATACAACATTGCCAGTGGCGGAGGCAGAGACTCTCTTTCCAACTGTGCCAGTGGCGGAGGCACAGACTCTCTTTCCGACAGTGCAGGTGCCGACAGCACAGACTCTCTTTCCGACAGTGCCAGTGGCGGAGGTACAGACTCTCTCTCCAACAGTGCCAGTGGCGACAGCACAGAATGTCTTTCCGACAGTGCCAGTGGCGGAGGCACAGACTCTCTTTCCAACAGTGCCAGTGCCGACAGCACAGACTCTCTTTCCGACAGTGCCAGTGGCGGAGGCACAGACTCTCTCTCCAACAGTGCCAGTGCCGACAGCACAGACTCTCTTTCCGACAGTGCCAGTGGCGGAGGCAGAGACTCTCTCTCCAACAGTGCCAGTGCCGACAGCACAGACTCTCTTTCCGACAGTGCCAATGGCGGAGGCAGAGACTCTCTTTCCAACAGTGCCAGTGGCGGAGGCACAGACTTTCTCTCCAACAGTGCCAGTGCAGAAAGCACAGAATGTCTTTCCGACAGTGCCAGTGGCGGAGGCACAGACTCTCTTTCCAACAGTGCCAGTGCCGACACCACAGGATGTCTTTCCGACAGTGCCAGTGGCGGAGGCACAGACCGTGCTTCCAACATTACCACTACCAGCGACGTGGGTGCATGGTCAAGATGCGCTAGTGGCACCACAGTCTGTGCGATTTCTACCCTCGTCAATGTCGGCGCTGCGGCAGTGCGATGAAGTGCACGTCCCATTTACTTGGCATCAGGAACAAGTACCAGTGGCGGCGGCGGCGGCACCCACCACTCATTCTGTATTATCGAATGACCATCGGCAGACGATGTCGACAGATATTTATTCATCATCGCTTCACTCTGGATTTTGTCCACCATCGCTTCAATCGGCATTTAGTCCCCCGATGGCTCATCACCTTTCTAAGGCAGTTTTTGGAGATGACTCCTCCTCGACATGGTCTGAGGCGAGCGAAGACTCTAATTCGTTATTACGTCAATTGCTGACAGCACCGCTTAAAAAGAATACGTATTTTTCACCGATGCAGAGCGCATTTCAAGCTCTGTCAAAATTGTCGGAAGCGGAATCGTGCTCTACCCCGTCCTTTTCCTCGGAGGAGCAGCTGGAAAGGGAATACGAGTCTGTTACCACTTTACAACAACTAGTGGCCATCACCGTAAACGACGACGTTCCAGTCACTCCTTCGAGCGTTACGGGTGAAGATATGACAGACGAGGACGTGGCAATGGTAGCCGACCTGATTGATTCGGTCTACAAAAAAGACTCTAAAAGCGACAAAGTAGAAGATTTCTTTGAAACTGCTCTGCATCAGGCCATGTGTGAATACAATTGCCAACACGAAGGAGACGAAGAAGAGGAGGAGGTCAAACGCCTGCCTGTGGACCTGGTGAATAAGGTGGTGGCGAAAGTTGTGACGGAGACTGAAGAGCTCGACGAGGAGGTCATCCTCCCCCCAAAAAGTGAGTGTACATATATAACTCCTTGTTGTATCTTTTTTTTCTAGCAGAGTGCATCTGATGGGATGGAAGATCCGACGCGTCTCGTAAAAATCGGGATGCTATTAAAAGCACGTCCTAGACCACCTCGGCGAGTAAGACCGTCTAGAACGAGGAAAATAGACTGGTCTTTAATTTGTATATATTCCTTTATTTACAGGTCACAAGATTCCATCCTTGCAGGAGCAGCGGAGCAAGACCGTGTCTCTTTATGACGAAATACAAGAATATCTAGACAGTTTAGATTATGAGGTGTAAATAAAGAATTGTACATATACCGGACCTCTTTGTCTACCTGTGGTGATTACTCTGCCAAGAGACGAAGTTCGTTATAGAGGGTGACTAGCCTCATGCGTGACTTGCCCTTGACCCGCAGTAGTCTAGTCAGGAGCCGAATAGTGTTTAGCGAAAAGGTGTGCTTATAGCGAATAAAGATCGGGTTGTAGTTTAGATCGCTAAAGTCTCGTATCTGTTGGAAGCTGCGAAAGGGATACTCGTGAAAGAGGAGTCTAAAGAATAAGAGACCCAGAGTCCAGACAGCCGAGGCTTCGGGAAGATACTCGTGCTCTAGGAACCATTCGGGCGGCGCATATTCGAGAGTTCCGCAAAAGGAGGTTCTCGGTTTGTCCGAGTCGCGGAGAACAAAATCAAAGTCGATGAGCTTGATGTCTCCGGTGTCGATGTCGACGAGCACGTTTTCTTCTTTGACGTCGCAGTGGAGCAGGCCAAAGAGTAGCCAGCAGTCGTAAACGATTCTGACTATCTTGATGAAAAGTAGAATGGCTTCGCGTTCGCGAAGTCTGTAGCAGTCGAGGTACTCTGCGAGGGTAACGTCGTTTTCGGAACGCTCGGTCACGATGACGTATGGTCCACCGCGGTCGATTTTGAACCAGTCGTACATGTAAATTGCACCCGAGATTAGTCTGACCTTGAGGAGGTTGGAGACTTCCATGTGGACGCGATATTCCGACCAGTGCCAGACCATGGTCGAGTCGATGCATTTTGTAGCGACCGGAAGGTTGTCGGAGATGCGTCTGCCGGCGTAGACTTTTCCGAAGCCGCCCTTGCCCAGTCTGTAGGTCGTGTCGACGTCGTAGCCTCGATTGGCCAGCTCGAATTCGAGATTAATCATCGTACAGGGAATAGACGCAGTAAACGTTTTTGCTCACGAAAACGTCACCGAGAAACGTTTTTTCTATATGTCCGTCGGTCAGCTTGCGCTCTATGTAGACGTTATCATTGTAGGCCGAGTTTAGGATGTTCCGAACGTCGCCACCCGTTTGAATGCTGTAGATCACCTTTATCTGGCGGTGAATGCCGAGCACGTTGGGTAAGTAGCGCGTGGACATGGTAGTGATGGGTGGAGGTGCGATTTTTATGCGTGCAATTGAAATGGCGCAGGGTGGGTTAAATGACTAGACGACTGCGGTGTCTTGTTGATCCCAATCGTCTATTTCCTCAGACGGATCTTCTTCTTCTTCGTCTTCGCTTTTGTTGAAATGCATTTTTATGTAATGTTCTTTGAGCCAATCGATAATGGCGCCGATGGTCCGAATGTCTTCCGTTTTGCTGTCGTCCTTGTGGAAGATGACGGAGTTTTCGATAAAGACGGGAGAAGAAAACGGTGGTGGTACCGTTATGTGTGGTAAGATGGATTCGCGAATGACCTTAGCAATCGAGGTCGCCTGATCTCGTAGTTCTTCCGAGACCACGACCGTGCTGCCATCGGTCTCTGACTCTTCGACGACGTAGTATTTATGAACCTCCTCCATTTGACGCGATATCACTATCTTGTGGAGAGACTTGATGCGAAGAGGGAGTTTTTTCTACACACTACAAAAATAATAATCGGGCATGAAGTGCGTGTCTTTAGGCAAGGGGTCGTATGCTAAAGTATACAGGCTCATGTTCAACAAGGACCAGACTGTGGTGATAAAAGTGAGTAAGAACAAGGGGAGCGAGATATACGCCGAGTATACGATCCTCTAGGTCTTGAGAAAATGCGGAATAAGCGAGGGCATACCCCAGTGCCTGAGTAAGGTAGCGTTCGACAAGGGCGCGGCGATAATATTTGCCGACTCGGTGAGTAGGCCCTTAGACCGGATACTATATCACGACAAGAGCTCGATAAACTTTAGAAGCGTTTTTAAGCAAGTGTTTCGCACGTTACACGCGTGCGTGCAAAAATGCAACGTCTTTCACTGCGACATAAAGCCAAACAACGTCGTAGTGTACGCCGACATGAAGTGTACGGTCATAGACTGGGGCGGCGCGTACCTGGCTCCCGCTATACACAAACCGAGCGTTTCGGATCCGGCTGCCGTCAGGACGACCATGGCGTATTCGTCAACGGAGGTCGTGGCCATATATTGCGGCAGCCGCAAGACGAGTTACAATCCGGAACTCCTCATGACATGGACCCTGGGAGTCTTTCTGTACGAACTTTATTTCCGCAAAATACTCTTTCAACGACCCAAGGAAGACCTGCTTCCCAGTGGAATAGTCGGGGCCTCCAAGGAAACGATTCGTAAACTCGAGTCAAAGATCACCAAGGCTGTGTACTCGGCGCCGGTGGACGTGGCCGAATTGATTTGGCTCTGCTTGGCGCCGTTGCCCGAGGACAGATGTAGACTGGTGGACATTGAGGCGTACCTTGTCAAGGCAGGTTAATGACGGCCAACAAGGAATTTACGATATAGTGCGAGTTGCAGCTGGTCGTTTCTCGCACCAGGCCTCCGTCCGTGTCGACAAAGAAGCTGGTCCCGTTGATTTGCAAGACGACACCCGCGTCGAAATCGACGCATTTGGAGTACACGTCCTCGGTTCCGTTGACAAAGTAGGGTATCCCGAACCGTGCGAAGAATTGGCCCGACACATACTTGGCCGCTCCGCCGACGTTGCACACGGGTGGGTAAACGAATCCGTCGTGATCGGCGTCGCACACAGAGTAAGTTTCCAGCACCGAGAGGCCGTCGAGAGTGAATTGGACCGAGCGACGCCAGTATCCACCTTCGCCAGTGCAGACGATGGAGCGCACCATGTTTTCTATCGAGTTTCAAGACATGATGAATTGCTGCACGGGGCGCAGACCGTCCCAGAGACAGTCGGAGAGCCACGCGCACGCCACGTCTCCGTTACCGCCACGACCGTCGTTGTCGAAAACGCAAACGCCGACGTCTTTGCACATGTGTACGTAGTTTCGCGAATAGAAATTTACTATGGACGGACCGATGCATCCGAGTGCCTGAAGCAAGTGAACTGACGTGGCCTTGGCTCCGGAGTTGATCATCACGGATAGCGTGTCCCTTTCGTCCAAGACGCTCATCACCGAAGACGTGATCTTCTGCCAGTAATAAACCATGTCTTTGGTGTCTTTAAAGTGCTCCGGTATTTTTCCAAACTCGGCCTTAAAGAGTTTGCTGCAGCGATTCATTTCCTGCGCAGACAAATCAAAGCCATACTGCGTCATAAAGTCGTCGCAGAGACGCGTCACGCACCCCCTGTGGCGTAGGTAGTCTTCTTCGTACCCCTTACATATCCTGACCGCGAACGAATTGAATCGATTCGTCGTCTTTTTGGTCCACGGGGACTTTCCAAAGGCCTCCGTGATTTTCTCGAAGGTCCAGGGGAATCGTGGCTTGACAGGCGACGCGCCAAACATCCACTCGTACGTGACGTGCTCAAACAGCTGCCGATAGGTCCTCGGCGGCCTCGTGGAGATTGAGCGAGCACGGCGCAAATAGTCTACGAAGGCGTCGTCCAGACGTTCGTCTGGCCACGAAGTCAAGACAAATATTGCCATCACCGTATTGTACGAACACTTTATTATGCCCATTCCGTTAATTTCGGAAAATAAGAGGACGGGTAAGGAGTTTAAGATGGCGTCGGGCTCGCAGGGCTTGTAGCTGGTCGAAGAGACGTACAGCGTCATTTCGTCCCCGTCGTAGTCTTGGTTAAAGGAGCCGCTGAGTTCGTGGTGGATGCTAAGGACCAGTAGATTGTCGTCGTCGTACGGCACCGGCTGAATTAGCTGCATTCCCGACGAGTATAGAGTCGGGTGCCTGCAGAGGAACACGTCCTTGTTCCGCACGTAGTTGTACACCTTGAGGGGCACGCCGACTTGCCACAGGTCAATGTCGGTGTCGCACACTATGACTTCTCGCACCGTGTAGATGGGTCTAGTGCCTCCGTACATTTGTCTAAAGAGACCCTTTTTGTGCGCCAAGACGTCCAGCATGGACATGTGAATGCGTCCGCCAGAAAAGATGTTGTTGGTGACCGAGCCGTTGCATCGGTTGGAGGAGACGTCCCTCCGTATGTCGTCCGACGGGATCATGGCGTTGTTGTTTGTGGACACGCTCATATACATGGTGTTAGATACGGACGAGGCCGCGTCGTTGCTGCCGCTTCCGCCGGAAGGCAAGGACGAAGAGCAGCCGGCGCTTCTACTGCCGACGACTTTGCCTATGGCCATGTTGTGAATCATCGTGACGATCTTTGCCTTTATCTCGGGAGCTACGACGGGCACGTTGTCGGACGAGATTTCTACGGAGCTGATGAGCTTGTTTAGGATCGGATAGTACTCGCAAAGCCTGTAGACGGTCTTTGGCTTGGACGTGTGATTCTTTTGGGAGGTAGAGTTGACCATGGCGTTTAAAGATCTAGACTCGTAGGTGATTTGAGAATGAATCAGCTGCTGCAAGTTCTTGTCCTGCATAAATTCTAGGCGCGCGCACGGAGGTCTCACCACCAGGTATCTGGAAGTGTAGCGCTCGTACTGGTCGGGGTATGCGATGCGAAACGCTTCGACGGCGGCCGGCGATGCTACGTCTTTGGTATTCAGCATGGACTGAATTTTGCACACGTACAGGGGTAGAACGTAGCGAAATCCCAAGTCGACCAGCGCGGGGTGGCCCGGGCACCTCGTGTTGTTTTGTTTGCACATGTCACAAATGTCCTCTGGAGAATCGTACATGTTTAAGCCAAAGTATTTCGAATCGTAGAGACGAGCCAGGATAGCGTTGTTGCCGAGCTTGGTCTCTCCGCACAGTTCTCGCACGTCGAACATGATGCGGATCGTTCCGCTGCGTATACTCTCTTCTATCACATCGTCAGTCAGGACAAAGAGCGTCACGTGCGTGTCCGGCATCACGCGAGGATGGGCTTCTTGCTGTCGCTACAGTTAAAGTATAGCTCGTCCTCTTCTTCGAAACCACTGTCTCTATGCGCGAAATGCTTGTATTTCGAAGGAACGATATTATCGGTCGCATTGTCGTTGGCGGTTCGGTTTTTACGAACATGAAACAGGCGACGTAGAGGTATATCTCGGTGACGATCAGGACAAACACGAGCAGGGTGGTTGCGGTGTACAGCGTGTAGGTAAAGGACGGAAGGAGAGCTTCGCAAAACTCTTCCGCGTCGTATCCACACAACGGAACTCTGTCACCGGGCCATATTGAGGTGACGTCAATGCACGCCGGTGTTCGATTCACTGTGTACGTTTGACAGAGTACCTCGGTCCTGCTGAATATGTAGAAGACGACCACGTTGAGTGCTCCGTTTAATAGTACGTATACGAGGTAGCAGATCGCGAGAAATGTCAAAGAGGCAAACGATCGTTCTTCTTTGAATTCGTAATAGCTTGCGTATGTACTAATACAGACGATGGCTATAGTTATGATAAAGCCGAGGCTGTTGTATATCTGTATGCGTAGCTAATGGGATCGGGGCTATTTGAGCGTGTCTCTATGTAGTTTGTCTGGTTCCACATCATAATGCCGCATATCATCCATAATATAGAGACGATGAAGAACAGGCAGCTCAGCGCACGAAACGGGCTAGCGGACGTAGACATGTTTCCAGATAAAGCGTACTAGTAACAGTAAAGCGTGGGTTTTTTTTACTACTCGCTATTTTGGGGGTTCATATATTCCTTTAACCTGCTTTGGATTTGAATCTCCAAGTCCTCGCATATGTCCTTTTTTAAGAGGAGGCGTATCGCGGACACGATCATTGACGCGTTCATGGTCTGGCGATTGGACCTGTGGACCAATTGACTTGTTTTGTCACACACCTCGTTCAACGTGTCGTGCAGAAGGTCGTTCACGATGTCGGCTGCCTGGACATCGATCGAACAATCGTACTTATCCTTGGTGTATTGCCTGATGTAGCAATGAAAATCTCGTCTCTTCATGATGGAATATATAACTCGATAGATATCCAAACCGTGCACAGATTGGTTTTTTACAGACATGGCGAAGAAGTCGACGCAATCTGTGACCAGGAGGCAAAGGGCCAAGCTCATAATACCCCGTGGGCGCATTCACGGAATCCTCTTGGATCGAATGTACACGTGGAGGACTAGCAGTACTGCGGCGGTGACATTGGCGACTATACTGGAATATGCCATGGCCATCGCGATCGGAAGTGCCCAATTACACATGAAGCGAGAGAATAAGAATAGGATAGACGCCCAACACATGGCGGCTGACTTTTATTCCATATTCAATAACAAGGAAGTCATACTAAACACCTTTCGTCGAAAAGTCGTTCAGCGGAAAAAGAAATCGAGCGGGAAAGTAAGGACGTCGAAGCGACAAAGCGTTAACCTTTGAATTTATTTCAGATTGGCGCGCTGTGCGGGACATGCGCGCAGCGTGTGTTTCAATAAAAGCCGAATCACGGGGGATTTCACACCAACGTCTATGGCACGCCTCAATTTGTTCTCGGCATTAAATATCTCTTCGTAGAACTCGCCGTCTATCCATCGTTCGTTGAGGGCGGCAATTTCCCTACAGGCACCCGCGCCGAGTGGAAAGACAAACTCGCGCTCGAGCAAGTATTCGTATGTCAGGCGACCAAACTGCCACGAAACAATCTTTTCGTAGTCTAGCGAGTCGGGCACCGAGTGCCGTAGTTCGGGCGGTCTGGACGCGTCGTTGTCATACTCGTCCGGTTCGATGACGTACTCGTAGTTTTGCAGGTAAATGCTCCGATGCCAGTCGAAGACAAAGGCTTTACGACGGTCGAGCTTGCTGACATGAACCATTTCTAGCGAGAGGTTAACGTGATACACCTGCCTCTCGGCACAAAACAGGATGCAGTCCAGGACCTGCTCCAGCACGTAGAGGTTGTCGAGATCCGGTAGGTAGGCGGCTCGCATAAACGCCGCGTCTTTGAAGACAAACGTCGAGCCGTTGCAGTCCTCCCTGTGGTTCACCAGTTCGGGCATCTGCTTGCAACCGGCGCATATAACCAGCACGTACAACTCGAGTGGGAACACTGTCAGGTAGATGTCGTACTCTAGGACTAACACGTTCGTGGACGGCCCTATCTTTATGACGTATTTTTCGCCCTGGTCGTCGACGTATGAATAATAATGAAACATTTTCTTTGTATATTTCGTCACCCACCCTATATAAAGACGCCGGCATCACAGATAGTGGCTATAGAATGACGACCGATGAAGTTATGTTTTACAAGTACCACATCGTGGAATCCAAGGGTTCCGGCTCTTTCGGAAAAGTTTTCTCTGCCCTGAACAAGAACACTGGCAAGAGGGTCGTCATAAAGAACGTTCCGATATGCTACGACAAAGAGTGGGGCTACGACTTTCTCTTTACAAACAAGATGTGCGAGATTGACGTCATCGAGCACCTATGTGCGAGGGG